TAATTCTCCCCTCCAGCCTTTACACAATTCCTGGTAAATAACTTGCATGAATTTGGTATTAGATCAAAATAACAACTTCTACCTGATAAGTTTGGGTATTCTCATTAGTCCTGTAATTTCTTTAATTCACTTGCCAAGTTGTTACCATACAGTTTGTTGTCAGACAGTTAAATAAGCCAATCACATTCAAAGTTGTCGTTTATATCAACTAAATGAAAATTGTAATAAAACTTGGCTATTCTCCTTTTCCCTGAAATTGCAATTTTTATGATTAATTGGTAATGACTATGTTATCCAATTCGATCTGTAACCATACTCATGATATACAAATCAGACTTCCATTGGGCAGTCGTTCTGTTTTGTTATCAATCTTATGATTACAGACCAAACTGGACTCCACTCAGTCCTATAACCATTACTTATTATGTCTTTCAGGTCTGTTGGAAATTTATCAGGTATGATCATAGTTTCTTTTTAATCACAAAATTTATGGTGTAGTGCATGTATAAATGCGGTTTTTTTGTCCTATTTCTTCTTTCATGTTTTTTTTGTATATCCACATTTGAACACCTAAGTATATTTTAACCACTGAAATTAACACTCGATATGTTGGTCATATCAGCAGATGTTGAGAATTGAATAACTTCCGCAGTTTAACGAGAAAGGGGTCTGAATAATTCTGTTGTCATGAGTTTACCATTCTGGCCTTTAGATAGTTAACAGTAGTTATATTTATGTGTTACTCAAGGCCTGATCCTGTAGACAAGGATTCCTGTATCACAAAAAGCTTTTGCCTGTAAGGTGGGATTGCTGTGTAACATCAAAAGCTTGAACTTAACTCTGAAAGACCTGAACCTCTTAGGGTGGGATTCTTGTGAACCACTTCAATCTTGAACTGTAATTGGGTTGTATTTCTGTGCTTCATGCGAGGCCTGAAATTACTTATACTATCCAAAGCTTGAGACTTGGAAAAGATTTCTTGCTTGACATCCACTATATATGTTATAAAGCAAGTGCTTAGAAGTCGTGGCCTTCATAGCACATCAGTTATAATGATATACATGAAAAAAATTACACGCCTCTGATTGGCTGAAAACAAGTGCATTTTTCATGTAAGACAAGTGCAAATTACAAATAACGCACGTTGCCAAAATTTCTTCTGTTTTCATTTTCTGTGATGCGTATTTCATACAACTTATCAACAAGTAACATGATTTCAAGAGCAATTTGATGTAAATAAGCACTTATAAACATTTTAAGACTACAAATTGCATTTGCCCTACATGCTCATACAGTTTTGTTGTCTTTGAAAAATTTTCTTGTACTTATTAACACCAAATTGCACTCAAAATCATGTTGTTACATGTACATATTCATCACAAATTTTTCTTCAATGCGGTATTTACAGGAACTTCTAGGATTGCGTTTTGAAGAAATTGAAGATCCACAGGTGTGGAATAAGGACATACAGATGGTATGTATCTTCACATTGATAGTCAGAACAATATTATTATATTTTTCGTCTCAAATAATTTTATTTTACGTGCGGTTCAGTGTTAAAAACTCCTGACATTTTCTCTTTATTTTGTTCAAACAGTTCAGTGTCCAAGATGCAGCATCATCAGAAATTATAGGATATTTCTACTTAGACTTATTTCCAAGAGAAGGGAAGTTTGGTCACGCAGCTTGCTTTGGACTTCAGGTGAATAACCACATTTATTTTACCTCTAGAATATTACGCGTGCTGTGATTGGTCAAATTAGCGAGGGGTATTCTGTTGCATTGCACCCTAACATTTAGAGCTTGTTAAACCTCTATGACACAAAATAGAGGAGCTGGGGCGGATCCAGAAATTTTTGATTGGAGGGTCTAAGCTTTGATTCAGAAAACGCAGAATTCTTTTTTTCGCGGCAAACTGAAAATTCAGCCAGTTGAGTAGTGATATGGGATCCTGCTGCTGAAACAATTTCAGGTCTGATAGAATAGAGGTCCAATAGGAGCAGCCGAGTGCGAAAAAAAAAAGGGTTGGGTCGGGTCGCATAACGAACGCGTTTTTCATGCGACCCGACCCAACCCACCCTCTTTTTTTTCTGACTCCTCCGCTACTATCACGTCATATTTACTGTTTTACTTCGTTTTACTTAATGCACGTTTGGAAAAGGTCATATGCTGAAATGAATTATTCCTACCCTTTTTTTTTAGCCCGGATGTTTACTGGCTGATGGCAGTAGGCAGGTAATGGTCGCTTCTATTTTTGTATACCATTTACATTTATTAATTATTCTTACAAGTTCACCTTCTATTGGTGTTGGTTTTGAACGTTACTCTTCACATCAACTGTGACCCGGCAATATTATTTCAGATTTCAGTTGCAGCCATGGTGGCCAACTTTACAAGACCATCGGGCGACCAACCATCACTACTGACGCATCAAGAGGTACGATTTACAATTGCGAAAGAAAGAAATCCTTAAGCTTCGTAGGAGCTTCGTAGGAGCTTCGTGTAACCTTCTGTATGGGCTCATAAATCGACGTGTACAATCCATGTTAATCTTCTCCATCCCTCGCCAATTTTCTTCCCTCTTGGGTTATCATCGCCTCTCTTATGTTTTTCAATTACCAGACCAGTATTTTGTAGTCATTTACTATTTCTTGTAAATCTTCTCCATCTTTTTCTAGCTTTGTTCCTTCTTGGTTTGTTATCGCCTCTTTTGGGTTTTTCTATGGTACTAAACTAATATTTTGAAGTCATTTACAATCCGCGTCAATCCTCTCCATCCTCTGTTATCCTTTTTCCAACTCGATTTATTATTGCCTCTTTTGTATTTTTCTATCTTACTAAACTGATTTTTTTTTGTAGTCATTTACAATCGTTATCAATCTTCTCTGTTGTGCTTTTCTATCTTACTGAACCGATATGTTGTAGTCATTTACAATCCGTGTCAATCTTCCCTTTCCTTCACCATTTCTGTTCCTTCTTGGTTTCTTAACGCCTTTTTGATATTTTTTTCTACTTTGTCAAACTAATATTTTGTAGTCATTTACAAATCCTTGTAAATCTTTTCCATCCCTAGCCATCGTTGTGCAGTTCCTTCCAAGTTTATAATTGCCTCTTTACTTTTTTCCTCTCTTACAGTAACAAGAGAATATCTTGTAGTCATTTTAAGTCTGCGTTAATCTTCCACATTCGTTGCCATTCTTGTACCACTCTGCTTTATTCTTACCACTTTCGTTTTTGTCTACTCAGGCAAATTATTATGTTTATATAATTATTGTCCGACATTCCTTCAATTCAAGGTGGAGACATTTTTCCATGAGTTTGGCCACGTGATGCATCAGCTATGCGCAAAAGCGGATTTTTCAATTTTCAGGTAAATCTTTTGATTTTTAGTTAATATTTTCTTTCATAAAAGATTGTGGCGCCCCACTCCCCCCTCTTAAGCCCTAAAACTAATAAAATCTCCGGAGAGGCTTAATAGGGCGTTGCTTCCGGCTTTAGCTGGAATCTTACCGTGTGTTGTCCTCTCTCAAATCTGTAGTGGTACGAATGTGGAAAGAGACTTTGTCGAAGCTCCTTCTCAGATGTTGGAGAATTGGTGCTGGGAAAAGAAACCTCTTCGTCGTATGTCAGCCCATTACAAAGGTTTGTTAAAAGGCTGTGAAAAACAGCGCGACCTAAAACAGGATGTGTCAACTACTAAAGTGTTCAGAGGATTGTTGCTCATTCTGGGTTTTTAATGTTTTCCTGGAAACGAAATCTTCTGTTGCAGATTCCAGTTCAGTTCCAGACGAAATGCTGGACAAACTCATAGCCTCTCGCAATGCGAATACAGGCGTGTTTAATTTAAGACAAGTAGGTGATAATGACTTTTATTGCTATTATAGTCTTTGTTCAAGGCTTTTGGATGTACCAGTGCGAAGCTTTTGTAATTAGAAATTTACCTTGAGAAATATTGGAAATATCGTTGTTAACGTTAAAAATCCTTGTTTCTTATTAACAGGTTTTGTTGGCAACATTTGATCAAACAATTCATACTCAAGCTAAGGTACAATTCCTATCTTTATGAACCTTACATTTTTGTGGAAATTTGTAGAAACATAATCTGATTTTAGTCTGAACAGTGAACTGTCTCGTTCAATCCCCACAGGCAAACACTGCGGAGATTTTCTCCAAGCTTTCATCCGAGATACTCCGTATACCATCTTCACCAGGTGGGTTCAAGGGTCGTATAGCACAATTTTAATTGAGTTTCAAATTTATCGTAGAATAAAATTTCAAAATGCATTTTCTTTTCTTTACTCTGCGATTGGTCTGGAAAGTTCGCGCTACCCCCTTAACCAATCAGATGCAAAAGAAGAAGCTTTCGTGACTTGGTCACCCGCGTTTTCCCGCGCTCCGGGTAGATTGTTTGTTTTGCCATTAAAACTTCTGTGATTGGTCTGAAAAGCTCGCGCTACCCCCTGAACCAATCAAATGCAAAAGAAGATGCTTCCGTGACTTGGTCACCAGCGTTCTCCCGTGCTTCGAGTTGTTTGTTTGTTATGCCTTTAAAAGTTCTCATTGGCTTCCTGTGATTTTTTTTCTTTTGTTCCAATCGGCCGATATGATTGCTTTGGGTTTGGTTTGTCGACACTTAATCGAAATGGCCTCTAAATGTCTTGTACTTACAAGAAACATTCCAGAAACATCGACAAGTGGATTCTTTGGAGTTCAATGAGTCAATGGTTTCTAGGGCAATCATCTATCATTCTAAAATCGTATGGGTTATGGAGCAAAAAGAACGTTCAACCTACCAAAGAGGCACATTTTTTTTCTCAATAACATTTAGTATTACTACTATTATTATTATTTTTGTTATCATTATCATTATTATTATTATTATTATTATTATTATTATTATCATTATTATTATTTTATTTCGCGTGTTAGCGAAGGTGGCTGGTGCAATCCGTGAAAGCGCTTTGGTTTTCAGCATGGCTAAAATTTTTTCTAGCCTCGCAAAACAGAGTCCAGTTTCCAGACCATTCGGTCACGTCGCGGAGTACTAAAACACGTTAATATGTGGCTTTACTTTTCTTCTTTAGACACCAACATGCCAGCCTCTTTTGGTCATTTAGCTGGAGGATACGATGCACAGTACTATGGATATCTGGTGAGAGATCATCTTAATTATTTTGAATATGAAAACGATCTTCGTAGTAACGAGCCCTACTTAATCAGTAGGTTTTTCTTCGGGGATACTCGGTTGATCTCCAGAAAACTTTGGTTGGCGACACAGTTGTAATTTCTCAACTGGATCTAAACCTTGGTTGACTTTTACGCCTTTTCTTTGTCTTCCAGTGGAGCGAAGTTTTCTCATCGGACATGTTTTACACCAGGTTTAAGAAGGAAGGAATTATGAATCCTTCTGTTGGGCTCGATTACAGGAAATTCATTCTTCAGCCTGGAGGAACTCTTGTAAGTACATGTAAATGGAAAATGAAAATATGAAAAAGGGAAAAATTTAAAAATAAAAAAAATTAAAAAGTGACCCATCCAGTAAGGAAGTTATCTCAGTTTTCGTAGCATGAAGGGACAAGGGGATTGCTCAAGACCTTCCCTGGATGGGAACCCAGTCCATCGCAGGGCTACTCCCCCCCTTTCGATTTCCTAAGCCTCTCGACTTCTATTAAAAAAGTGTTTTTTTGTGTGTGCATTGAAAGTGTCTAATAAGTATTTTTTCTCAGGACGCCTCCGTCATGCTGAAAAACTTTCTTGGTCGTGAACCTAACCAGGAAGCCTTCCTTGAGAGCAAAGGACTCAAGAAATAGCAACAGTATAACTTATTATTGGAATTCATTTTTTCAAAATACTCGCACTAAAACCACAAGACTTTGTTGCCAGTGAGAAAGAAGACATCATTCATACTTGAAACTTACCCACTCCATCAAATGGGTGTTTATCTTCTCTACCATAAGCTATCGTTACATAAGATCGGTTTACAATTGTCTCTTTTAAGGCCAGTGTCTCTTAGTTTAATTTGAATTTTCAATATGAAATTGTATGTTATTGAATAAGGTTACATAATTTCGTGTTAAAATTGCGTGATACCAAATGTTGTAGTTGACTTAAATTCTGTAACTTAGTTCTTTCACGTAATTTAATTTCTAATTGAAAATTCTAATTTCATTTAAATCTCAAGCTGATGTGTGTGAAGAATAGGGAAAATCTCAATGTAACACCGTATGACGGTGTAAGTTAAGGTGAAGTACGTGCAATAAACTATTTTTTTTTTGCTAACGTTGGCCAGTTTTTTTTGTTGTTTATCGCGAATTGGCATTTTCGAGATCTCTAGTTTGCTGTGCAGGTTTACTCTGTCGACAGAACACTTGGGGTTCCTTTGTAAAATGTTTGGCCGCCATTTCGGATTGTAGGTTGTGGAAGATTAGAGCGAAGAAACAGTTTCTTCCAAGGACAACTTGGTTTACGATAGCGAGCCTTTAGAGCAATTTACATCAAAAGTGATGCGGTGTTACGTTTATTCTACTTTACTTTGCTCTCTGATCAGTGCTGGAAACTGCGTCATACTCCAAAGCAATTAGATGATCGAAAACTAATGACGACTGAGGCAGTTTTCTTGATTTTATTCTTCACTGGGTACTCATTATACTCCGCTACTCTTAGCCTCTTAGCGTTTCTGATCGAAATGAGCTATAATGCTAACTCTCCCCCCCCCCCCCATCTTAATAAGGCATCCAACCACCACGTGAACCCTGCCAGATACGTCATTGTGATATACTTTAGCACAATCAAATATCTGACCATTAGGAACCTACTGACAACTTTGTTCATATCCTTAGACCTGTAAGAGAGTATTTTAAAGAGATCGCAGGAAGATTGTGCGTTGCATAACATTATGTCATAAGCCGAATATGACGTCATTGTGGACAAAAATACACCACGGATTATGATCACTGCGTCACAGTGCATCTCGAGAGATGTTCCAGGTAATTGAAAAAGTTTTTACATTTTTTAAAATCAATTTCAGTCTTCTCCATCCTTGGCCATGCCTGTTCCTTCTTTGTTAATCATTTCTATGTGTGTGTTTTTTCTATCATGACAAACTAACATTTATAAGTCTTCCAAGTTAGAGGACGAATGATAGCTTGGCACTGCGCATCGCTGGAATAATTATTTGATTTTGGGTGCGTGGGGTCTGGGTATAAGGGTTGACGCCTTGGTTATTGATTACCAGACTCCCACCATCTCGTGTCGCTCACAGCTTTGTAAACGGCATGTCGCAATTGCGATGCTTATGATCAGTTAGAGTTTCTTTAATGGCGATGAAAAGATACGTACTAGCCCAAATTGTGACCAGTACACTGTTTATCACCGCTACCAGAATGTGTCTTTTCCACGCTTTCCGCCAAACTGCTATTATCGGCATGTTTTGGTAGCGAGTTTCAATCATTATAGACAAGCTTGTGAAAAACCACTCAATGGCCAGTGGAACTGACGTGGTTATCGCAAAAGACTGAAGAAGCTGAAGTGGAGAGTTGTCACTGGAGTAAAAATACTCATAAAAGTAGAGAAAACCATTGACAGAAATGATAGCAATCGATTCATAGAGCATGCTCATAATGGCAATATCCGCTGCCAGTCTTTCGCGGCGAGGCGTGCGAAATCCTCCCCACGGAACCCTCCTCTTTTCAAAAATCTGGTGGCAAATATGATCTATGAAAACCATGGTGCTGCGCTCGATGACCTCTGCGATGCCATGAATAACTCCAATTACCACAACGGACTTGAATTTCTGATTCAGACCAAGATCCAGTTGTAAAAGTCTCAACATCACCGCTGACCCGAGGTACAGCGGCACTAACAGCACGAATGAAGTTCCCGGATGACTGATACGCGACAACCGCTGGATGCATATGCGGGAGATGCCTTTAACAACTACTGTGATGAGCGGAGTGAATATGGCGATGATCATTTTGCCTGATCTGTCTTCTTTGTTGAATGCTGGATAAATGAAATACGAAATTAAAACAGCTGTGATGTAGGACAACGTAACAGGTGGTGTTAAAATAAAAAGCAACTTGACCTGTGTCTTGCGAGGACCTCCACAAAAGTGCTTAACAATAACACAAGCTTGTAAACAAACACATAGCAAAAATAACACTATTAACGGTACTTTTTCCTTCGGGGTCAACTTTGTACGAGTGATTCCAAACGCTTGAAAGCAAATTCTATAGATCGCATCCAGGGTATAAAATGCCAGACATAAAAGGCACAGTTTAAGCTTCATTCCAGAAATTTGAAAAGGCCGGAAGTAAAAAAGACAGTTAAGAAAAAACCAGTAAAAATATAAGGAACAAATGATGACTTCTGATATGGTTCGCATCCATTGCAGTTTTTCCGGGATAAATTTTATGGAGTAACTTTCACATTTAAGCAATGTTTGATAACTGAGGTAGTATACGACAATGGAAACTGTGCCAACCGCGATTGCACCGAGAATTGATATCAAGAAACCAAAATAAAACGATTTCCAAAGTGAACACAATAACGATGGTCTCAATCTTTTCCAAGCCATCCCTTGATCATCAAGCGGTTCATGATACAAGCCTTCGTCACTTTCTGTTGCAATGGCGTTTAACATTCTAGCATCTGTTCTACCAGAGCTTAAATAATCGAGAGTTGTTGCGTTTTTGTTGCTATATTCCTGGTAAATAATTTCTCCGTCAATTGGATGACCGTACCACTCCAAGCCTGTATCGGTTAAGGGGTCGTACTCAAATAAATGAGCGCTTTCTACGGCCTCGTCAAAATCATAATGCTCCGCCACACTTCGAGTGAAACAGTACACTACATGACCAACAAACTCTGTAAACGTTTGAAAATACATTTTTGTTGAAAATCTTCTGCAGAGACCAGAGGCATGAAAGTTTGATTTGACTTTGGCACAAAATGGAGTTCAGCTCATACCCTCAAGAACTTTTATACCGTTCGTCAAAGCGTCAGAGTGTGGATTAAATATTTCAATTTTGACGACCCACTTAATTGCGACACTTTACTCAACCGTCAATTATTTGCATGTATTACGGAAACTGAAAATAAGGAATGAACTCATGACGCACGACAACAGTAGATAAGAAACTCGACGGTCGGAACCACCTAAAAAAAAGAGGGTCGAACCACCGAAAAAAAAAGGGGGGTTTGCTGAGAAAGTAAAGGGCATAAGGAATGAAGCTAAAATTAAAAGTTGGGGACGATCCCTCATAACAACACCAGAAGAGTTACAATTTTGAACCTTCCCGTTTTCGCAGAGAGGATAAATAGAGCATAACGCCGGGGGCTAAAGGAAAATGTTTTAACACTTCCCGTTAACTCCTTTCATTCATTGGTTCACGCGAGTTAAATTATTTCACTTACTTGTGAGGCATTTGTTTATTTTTCGTGTGGTTTGCCTAAGAAATTTTAGAACAAGCCAGCAAAGTGCGGGAGATCATTTTTACTGTTGCGGTAACCAACGCAGTCATATCTTTCAGACCTTTTTAAGCTTCTTGCAATTCCTTTAATTTCTCTTCTGCCACAGACGTTTTTTAGAGGGCTGACCAGGGATCAGTTAATTTTTCGGCGCACTTTGTAATAGAAGGGGTCAAAATCACTCTCGTCACCCGTGAAATTTGATCAGAAGTTTCCGAGTCAGACAGCGGACACAGAAGACAACTCTTGACAAATATTAATTTTCTTTTAATGATTTAAACCCTAAAACATGTAACTATTGTTAATCAGATTAGTGAGAAAACTAATAAATAAAGACGTTGATTGATAGTCGAAAGCTTTAAAAAGCCTCTTTATCGAAAAGGAAAATCTCAATATCATAACTTTATACAGTTTGTCCATAAATATTTTGTTTACGACCATTTAGAGCTGTTCATAGAGGTTTTCTGACGCGATTAGCATTTGGAAACTGAAATCATCCTCTATTAAAAAAAAAAAAACAAAAAAACTTATGCCTGTTTCTACTCACCAGAGAGTTAAACTATTAAATTTTGAATTCAGAAATTAAACACCTACCTACATTTTTGGTAAGAAACTCAAAACAAGACAATTCATACCGGAAATAACGATAGCCTTCAACAAAACGTCGGCCTACCTTCGGCGGTTCACTCGCAAATGTCGAATTCGTATTCACAATGCCAAATAACAAAAAGATTTAGTCAACTGGCTAGACGTCAGATTTTCTGTTATCGACCGCTGACCTTGGAACAGCGCTACAACCCTCCACTGAAAATTTCTCTACCTAGCTAAGGACGTCAGAGGTTAGAAGACCCGACTTCGACTCATCGTCAACCGAATACAACTCAGTAAAAAACTGGTCACAGCTCACTAATGAAATTATCTCCACATTGCGTTTAAGTCGAAGCCTTGATGTCCACACGATTTCGTTGAAAATGCCGAGGAAATTTGTTGTCGACGAGGCATAATGTCCCTTCACCAGCATAAGACCAAGTGTACCCCTGGGCACCAAGCTTGGCATGACTCGACCCAGTGCTCAACTGCAGCGGTGGGTGATAACATTAAAAGCAAATCATTCACTCTCTTGCCGTGGTTCTTCTCCTTCACCTTGTTGTGCTTGTGAAGCAGTTATGGCCTGAATTTGTCCCAGCAGTTGTTGAACATCTGGTTGGTTGGGATCGATAGCTACGTAGACGGCGTTACTGTCGACTAGAGGTACACCATCCTCTGATGTCACTGGGACAGCGGTACTCTCTTGCAACACATGCTCCGTGACCATCTGATAATGTAAAGAAAGTAAGGTCATTCTACATTTCGTTGTATTAACCCACGCATCCGCACTCTACATAATTTCCACGCGTGATTCGCGCGCGCCATTAACAAACTGCGGAGTTCGCCGTGGAGGTAGACGATATTTTCTCGAAAATGTTTACAGTGAATCTTGCTTACCCTACGCACCTCGCACCGTATAATTTGCACGCGTAATTCGCGTGCGCCCAAGGAAAAAATTGCTTAGCTACTCAGTGAGGTGACCATTGGTTTCTTCTTTTTTTTGTCTTAGATCGGAAACAACCGTTAAACTGTGAATTTGGAGTGACTTGCTGTAGCATCATCGACTTTTAGCAGGCCTACCTCGTGAGTTAAAACACGAAATAAAGCGAGAATTTATCGTTTATAGCGTGACTTTAAACCATATTTATAGCGTGACTTTAAACTTTATTTACAACGTGACTTTAAACTATATTTACAGCGTGACTTTAAACTATATTTATAGCGTGACTTTAAACTATATTTATAGCGTGACTTTAAACTATATTTACAACGTGACTTTAAACTTTATTTACAGCGTGACTTTAAACTTTATTTACAGCGTGACTTTAAACTATATTTATAGCGTGACTTTAAACTTTATTTACAGCGTGACTTTAAACTATATTTATAGCGTGACATGACGCACTACCTCGTTATGTTGTCCTTCAGCCTGTTCTTGGATCATAACTTCAGTTCCTACAACCATTTCGGTTTGCCCAGTTCCCTGGGAAGTGTTAGCATCGCTGGGGACATGTATTAAACCGGAGGGATTCTGCATCAAGTCAGTTGCCTGTTGAACTGCGGCCTGGTTGACGATCTGTTCTGCAAGTTCAGCGCTGATTTCTGGAATAGTGACTACAGTGAAAGGAAGACTTAAAGTAAAGTTTATGATCAAGTCTCTTTGATAAATCTTTTAATCTAAATTTGCTCTATCCAAACACTTTACAGTGCATTTCGATTGTAGCGCAAAATCAAAACCAAATCAAACACAACAGCCAAACAGAGAAAATGAATACACCTCTTGACGCCATATGAAGGCAGCTTTCGGAAAGGCGGGAAAACGCGAGACGCCAGAGATCAAGTTGCTGTCGGCTTTGAATCTGATTGGTTGAGAGCGTGGCGCAAGATTTCTGAACCAATCAAATTGCGTAAATAAGCTAAACCAAAGCATTCACAGATTTCTAGCAAGACTCGAGTGAAAGCTATTTTGACTAGCAATAATACAAAACAGACTTGGCCTTAAGGTTTGTCCGTGTAGATGTTTTTAGACACTTTTTAGTACGCATGAGCCGCGCATGGCAACGCGGTGTGTTTTTCACGCGCTCTGCACCACTGCACGTTTTTCCGTACCTGACAATTTTTACATATTTTCCCGCGCTCAGCACCGCAGCATCTTCTCCTGTTACTGACAACAGTTATACCTTTCCCTGCCCTTAACACCGTTGCAAGTTTTCCTCGCGCTGGCCACAGTTAGCTTGTTTTCTACGTTCAGCTCAGCCGTTAAATAATTTTTACAAAAACAAAACCAACCACATCTGAAGCCGCGTAGCTTACCTGTTGTAATCTGAGGTTGTTCGGCGTCTTGTTCGCCTTCACTTCCGCTCGCTCCGCCGCGTCCAAGTCGCTGTGTTTGTACCTGATTCAGTAAATGCTGCGCTAAAAGCAACTGCTGAGCCAGAGTGATCTTAAACTCGCTTCCCGCCTGGTCTGCGCCTTGAACAACAATCTGTGGTCCCCCGGCGCCCTCGGTCACTTCTGCACTCAAGTTGTGAGGGACGATCTCGCCAAGGACCTGGGTAACTTGTTGTAAGAGAGAAGTATCCGGGACTTTGGATTCTTGTGCCTTTGTTGTATCTGTGACTTCGCTCTAGCGTAATAAAAGCAGAACGGTTTTTGAAACTGTTAATTGTACGCAAATTTAATGTAAATTCTTCACTCTAAAGCAAGACTTATGTAATTTCTAATTACTACACCACTACTAGCACAAAGTGTGCTCTAGAATACCTCTTGCTCTTTGGCTGCCTCGGTTTGAAGTTCTCTTTCAGTATCAGCTTTCCCTGCCTCATTTTCAACCAGACTTTTGCCTTCGTTCTGAATACTTTGGGCAGCGGAATCTGCCTCCATAGTACCCAGGTCTTCCTGATTATCCACGTCCATATTTTGCCGAGAAGAGCTGTCGTCATATTTAAAGTCTGTCTGGCTTTCCTGACTCGCATGTTTAGCATGAGTGTTGAGATGATTTTTTAAATAATTGAGCCGAGTGAACTTCTTATCGCAGTGCTCACAGGCAAAAGGTTTTTCTCCTTTGTGGATGTTCAAGTGTCGTTTGTAAGTCGTCAGATAGTTGAATTCCTTCTCACAAGTGTCGCATTTATATGGACGGACACCTAAAGAGATAGACAGGGCATGGTTAGGGAGCTTGATGTATAAAATTGAGTTTATTAACTTGTAATTGCTTACCTGTGTGTAAACGAATGTGGTTCTTGTAACTGTCCAACCGAGTGAATTCTCTCCCACAGTCCTCACACCGAAAGGGTTTAAAGCCTGTGTGAAGGCGGAGATGCCGCTTGTGACTTCCAAAGTCTGAGAAAACTTTCCCGCAAAAGGTACACTGTCAAAGAAAGAAGACCTTATTAAACCATGCTGCTTTCATGCTGACAAGTTTTGATAATCAGTGGGAATATAAGAATTTAAAAAGGTCTTCCTTGGAATTCCCTCTTTCTAGAAACTAACGACAAAGGCCTTTGCCAGTGAAGACAAAAAAATGAATGTCTCAGTTTCCTTTGAAGAAATGATTACAAACTCACTTTGAATGGTTTCTCCCCTGTGTGTGTGCGCGCATGTCTTTTCAGATCTCCCAGGTTAGCAAAGCCGTGGCCACACTGCTCACAGGTATAGGGTCTTTCCCCAGTGTGAACACGAATGTGTGTCTTCAAATTGTATGACTTGTTGAATTCCTTACCACAGTACTCACAAGGATAAACCCTACCTGCAAAAAAAAAACGCATTTTGTTTGAGCTGAGCAAACATCAAACAAGTGCTACGTTAGGTGGGTCCACATATTATTTCATTGAGTGCAATTCAATGAGTTTAGTGTTTCAGTCAGAACTAGTGAAGGTAGACTGCTCTAGGCTTTCATTTTGTTTGAGATGAGCAAACATCAAACAAGTGCTACGTTAGGTTGGTCCACATATTATTTCATTGAGTGCAATTCAATGACTGTAGTGATCCAGTCAGAACTAGTGAAGGTAGACTGCTCTAGGCTTTCATTGCATTTGAGATAAGCAAACATCAAACAAGTGGTACGTTAGGTTGGTCCACATATTTTTTCATCGAGTGCAATTCAATGAGTGTAGTGATCCAATCAGAACTAGTGAAGGTAGACTGTTCTAGGCTTTCAGCGACTAAACTAGTGCGAAATCCATGCTTAACCCTTTACAACCTAACATAAGTGTGAATAATTATTCTCCAGAGCTTCTTCAGTTGGTGATCATTCCCTTTATTCTCATGGCCTAAATGTGTGATTCAGGAGTGATATTGTGAAGAGAAATTACATGCTAATCACCCTTAGGGGTTAAAGGGTTAATAGTAAACAGACCAATGGTAGAGGCGGAGCAAAACACAAGGGAGGCCTGGGTCAGATTGTGCAAAGAATGGCTTTCTTTACACGACCCGACCCAAACTTTTTTTCACTTCTCTACTGCTATGGTGCTGGTTACCTCCACGCCTCATTTTACTACCTGAATGTCTGGAAGAGGTTATAAAGAGAGTAATTTGCAACAGGTAATCCCATGGCAAAGAAAAAATACCATCATAAGTAGCCTGTGTAAAGCTGCTCCCTACCCTCCAAAAGAAAATCAATTTTCTTTAGGAGGGTAGGGAGTGGCCATACACAGGCTACATAGTAAGCCAATGAGAACTCAAAGTGAACCAAAGTAATTAAGGGGGTAAGTTTCTAAACAAACTGTGCTGCTGTGTCTGTGCAGGGTATTACAAGATAATGGTAATTTTGTGTGGTGAACTGAGTTGATGATGTAAATCTGCCCCAAAGAGAGTTTCTGAAGCTGATGTTTCGAGCATCAACCCTTGGTCAGAGCAATGGATGAAAGGCTAACTCTCACAATGTCAGTTTTAGAAAATCTCCATGGTGGCCACTATCAACACAATTGAATGATAGCAAGCTATCTCTGGCATGGAAACACACAATCAATGGACCAAATTGCAGATTAAATAAATCTAGTTTTGCATCTGACTGTTTGAGAGCAAAAATTTCTGAAACGATTGAGCCCATCAATTTCTGGTTGATGGTCATTGACTGTCTTTCTATTGTGTAAAATAACATAATTTCAAAAAAATCAATTTTTTTTAAAGTGTTACCTCCATTTGAAACAATCCTTGTTCCAACAGCTAGAAGAAATCAAAAGCCATTACAGTTAGTATGAATACATTATTTTTATCAATTGAAATAATTTATATGAATGAAATTGTTACTAGTATGAATCTCATTCTATGGAAACAGCCCCAAAGACTTCTTGAAAGTGCTATGAAAACTCTCATGGCCTTTTATCCTTCTACAATAGCTTAAAAGACAACTTTGCTGTATATTTGAGGCCCAGGCACAAATTCACCTTGTAAATAGCATAGTAAAATGTATAGAGAACAGTAGGGAGAACTTTTTTTTTTTTTTTTTAATTTTTTAAACAATTTTATTTACAAGACGATCACTTACACTACTTACAGTATTAATTACACTTACATTGTACTTGCTACTTACACTACTGATACTTATACTTACACTAATTATGCATACACTACATTACGATACATGTATTACAATACTATTAACATTAATTTAATTTACGGTTGGCGTGTTTACAAAGTTCTTTTCAATTAAAAGACAATCACAAGTAAACATACAGGTCTCAAAAATGCTACATTTCTTTGGATATTTACTTTTGATATAGCTTAAACAAATATTTATGAAATTAAGTATAAGTCTAACCTAAAACAACAGCAGCATGAAAAATTAAAGTAAAAAAGCCCACATGCAATAAAATTTCAGAAGTTCTTTTTTTGCAGACGCGATCTCTTTTAGGGAGAACTTGCACCAACCTGCTGTGGAATCTCCTGACCCAGATAAAATAGCCACCTCTCCACTATCCAGCTGAGCATGTACTTGCTCATTGGTGTCCATGACGCCAGATGACTGCTGTATATTCTGCACAGCTGAATGAACCCGACGCAGTACCTCGTTAGCCTCCTCATCTGGAACTTCAGCTTGAACAATCTCCATAACTGGATGAAAAGAAGAATATCAAAATTTATGTCAATTCCCTTATCAGTTGAATGATTACTTGGCAGTGATGTCGATCCAACAAGTTTGTATTTTCATTTCCCAATTATAAGTAAGAATATCAGCAGAATGTTAGCCCTTCAACTCCCATGAGTGACCAAAACAGAATTTCTCCTTGCAATACCAATACAATATCAAGCAGACAAGTGACGAGAATATAGAAAAATATCAACTAGGAGGTAATTAGATGATCCAATATCAAACTCTCTGAACTAACATCATAAGAATTTATGGCAGGCAGTAAGGCGAATAACTAACAGGATGCTAGAAGTGAAAGGGATAACTTATGTTTGCACGTTTACCTTGTGAGGCTGTTGTCTCCACATCACAGTGATGCCCAACATTAATAACTGTGGCTTCAATTGTTTCACAACTTATCTGCTGAATCTGTGACATCTGCGACAGCACATTGGCTGCAGTAGCTTCCTCTTCACTTGACATGGCTGCAACTCTTTCTTGACCATGAAATCACTTTGAAAAGAAGTTAAAGAAAGTTGAAAGCAAAAGTTAGTTTTATTGTACATGACTTAACCCTTTAACTCTCATAAGTGACCAAAACAGAATTTCTCCTTAAAATATCAATACAATGTCAACCAGATAAGTAATAAGAATACAGAAAAATATAAATTTGGAGATAATTAATTGATCCAATACTAAATTCTCTGAACTTACATTAAAAGAATTGTATAGTTGTCAGTAAAGAGAATTACAAATTTGATCTAAGAGTTAATGGGTTAATCAGAACAGTAAATAAAGTGCAAAGGTATGAAAACAAAACAGAGTTAGCTTGGGTGGAGAGTGACTGGGATCTAATTTCTCCTAACAACATCATCCTGAATCACACATTGAGGTCATGAGATTAAAGGCTATGATCACCAACCATTGAAGCTCTTGATGCTTAAACAAATTCTCCTTATCAGCATCTTAGGAAATATACAGAAAACCCTAGGAATGACTATCATCTAATTTCTCTTTACAAATCACCCTGATTCACACATTATGGTCATGAGAATAAAGGCAATGATCACCAACCAATTAAGCTCTTGATGCTTAAACAAATTTTCCTTGTCAGCATCTCAATGTACAGAAAAAAACCTTGGAAATGTACAGAAGAAAAATTTACAAAGGTTAGGAAAAGGTACAACTACAGTCCTCTGCAAGTTTGATTAGCTAAATCAACTCTTTTTTTCCTTTTATCATGTTTTTTTTTTTAATGAGTCCAAGCTAGCTGCTAGAAAGGGGTTGTTTTTGTATGAAATAAAGTTTCTGCCAAAACATTGAGATCTTGAAAATTTAAAATGTTCATATGTTTAATGCATTGTCTAATCACCCAACACTCAGGCACTGTTTTAACTGGACTTAATGCCCAGCAGTGGAAAATTTCACTAAAGGTTCTATCAAACTTCTAGAGAGTATTGGATGTTTTATTAGATATATCAGGCAATTTCAAAAATTATTTTGTTGTTTCAACCGACAAATTTTCCAAGCTTTTGCACACTGTCAAGTCACTTGGTGTATCACACTAAGGAAACAATTCTGACCAAGCCATGCACAAGCTGGGAAGATGTCCTAGAGTGAGGCAATTGGAATTACTTGACTATTTCTAAACAAACATGGGACACTTCCATTGAGTTTACACGAGGTTTTCTGCAGGAATATTTCTGCAAGGAGCATTGGTCTATTTGGGACAATGCCCAGCTGCCAGGCACTTACAGCCAAAATCAGATAGCTACAGAACAAAATATAGTGACATTAAATAATACAAAAAAAGTTAAAAGTTCAGTAAAGAAAATAGAGAAAGATGTCTTTTGTCTTGTCATAAGCATAAGATAAAGAAAAAATTCTGAGTCCCCATTAGGAACCAAACCTCAGACCTTCAGATTCCACACTTCGAAGCTCTACCACTGAGCCACAGAGACTCGATGGTGAGCAAGGCCCATTATCACATTTGTATAAGACATGCATCCTGCATATTGCTAGGATCAGCAAAATAGCTAGCATCACATTTTGTAAATAGAAAGGTGGTAAGTTTTAAGCTTGGTAAAGAAAATAGAAATACGTTTTCATCCTGCCGATCCTAGAAGTATGCAGGATGCATGTTTTATATGGACTTTGTGATGGGCTTTGCTCACCTTAGAGTCTATCTACCATAGAGTCAATAGAGTCTAAAGAGCCACACGCAACCAGAGACGTGCAAAAAAATGACAGCAGCGAACTTATAATCAGTTTAAGGGTGTTACCATTTTATCTCACCAGACGGTCTTGACTAATCCAAAGGGAAAATGTCAACCAGTGAGATGCGAGACTTATTTAAGATCCTCAAGTTGAAGTTTGACATTCACAATTAAAATCTAGTCCAGGTTTTCAGAGAATTCGAAATAATTTATAGTTTATTTTCGTCAGTTTCGATATACAATGAAAATGATCAAAGAATATTCTCCGATTAAAAAAAAACTTGGAATAAAAAACTTTCTTTCCCTTTCGCCGTCGCAAAATGCGCGCACATGTTTATGTATAAGCTCAACTGATTTTCAAACGCAAAGTTTACCTTCACGAATTCAAAATTTCAACGGAAGCAATTCAGTCGCTGCTTTCACGGCATACATTTTAACAGGATACAACGACAGAACTTTAAAAATCACAGTAGAGGTAGTCATGATCCATAAAGGTCGAAGCAAAAGAACTGCAATATTGCGCATAAACGGATGAAAAAGGCTCATCTTCTCAATCAACAATGTAATAGACAGACAATACAATGCATTGCATCGAAATTCGATGCATTTCCTCTGAAATTCCCACCAAAATCTCGATTACAATGAAACAAGGCAGTCATAGACATCCTTGATGATTCAAAGCCTACCTCTGTAAGGAAAGAAAGCAGAAATCTTGCTATGTCGCCGCGCCTTTCCAATCCAATACTAAAGATGGTGGACGCTAAGCAAGCGTGGTTCCTTTGCGAAAAGCCTACGGCCTTCCCGAAATGCACCTGAACTCAGTGTTTCCAAGATGGCGTTGTTGGCAAGGCGTCTCATATAAGAATTGGTAAGTTTTGACGCTATTTTGTGGTATGTGGAGTACTATTTGAGAAAAATCAATGTAGTTTTATGTTTAAAGCTTGGAATGCGTGGATTGATTTTTTGGATCATTAGTTCTGGTCGATAAGCGTATTTCGCCTGCGTGGCATAACTCGCCTACGTCACGGGTTAGCTCGCAAACATGATTGGTCGACTCGCCTACTATCGCATCCATTCAAGTTTCTTCCTTCTGCCTTTCCTGCTTGCGTGTTTGGTGAATTTGCCGTCGTTTACTCGCCCGTTAAATTCATTTGCGATCACGGAAAAGAAGCGGAAAAGAAGGATTGAAACCTCTTAATGTGTTTTTCTCACTTAAAAATACGAAGTCATATTTTTGAAACCCGGAATCGAAGGCATTTACGTAGTCAATTCGTGCGCAATTACATCCATTGAAGTCTACATTCTGCTATCAAGTTCTCGTTTACTTCAGCGTCTACTGACTGTGATTTCAAGGAGGCATGAATACCATAGTAGAAGTGATTCCAGAGGGTGAAATTACTTGCTTTGAATATGACTTATCCACTCAACTTCTGAGTTTAGTAGGTGAGTATTGGAAATCATTTGAATTACAGCTGTCCAATTTTGCATCAAAATCGGAATTTTCCTATATCATGAGCACATTCTTTTTTTTCTTTTTTCTGCATAAGCAGATCCAAAAACCACAGAGCCTTTTGCCACATCAGAGACACCCAATTATATTTCAGATGTTGCTCGGCCTATATCCACAGAATCTGATACATCAACAGTCCCACCTACCCATCAATCAGGTACTGCTGAGCTCATTACCTTCAAGTCTGAAGCCTCAACACTACCTTCTACTAGTGGTTCAAATGTGCATTCTGCAGAGGCTGAGACAGTGGAGACATGTTCTTCCTCAGAGTTGTATGTGGCAACAATACCACTTACTGATCTTTCTGTACTAGTTGAACCACAAATCAAGTGCTCATTGCTAGAGGAAGACCCAACCACTCCAACTTGTGTTCCATTGACCTTCACTCTTGTTGAGAAAGCAACTAAGCGAAGAGGGGATAGACTGATTGACAGCATGGGCTTCTCCTATAACATCCGCCGCAAAGGGGCCAATATAACTCGTTGGCAATGCACCATTAGGAGGAAAGAGTTCTATTGTAAAGCAGCAGTAGTGGAAAGAAATGGTGTCTTCACCTTTGGGAATTTTTCTCATAATCATGAGCCTCCTAAACCAAGAGCCCAAACTCCCTCACGGAAGACCAAGACCAAGGCAGTGGTGGAACAGTGCAAGCCTGAGCCAACCAGCACAGATGAGGTACTACACTTTCACTTGTTTTCTTTTCTTTTCATTAACCTCTATGAGTAACTAGAATTTCATTTCATATTACAATTTTACCACTAAATCAAATATTAATTGATCATAAAAAGAAAGGAAATGATCACCAGCTAAAATAGTTCTTGATTCTTATTATAATAAACATATTCTCATTGTCAGTATTATTGGAAATGTGTAGAGAACAGTTTGGAGAATATACATACTGATCTTAGGTTATAAAGGGTCAAGATTTTTCTGAAATCTTCTTTTATCTAGGGCCTCCTCTCAAAATACTTTTACCATTTTGTCACCATCTTTTAAGCACCCACTCAAGGCTCTTCTATCAGTCATCTTTCTTTCAGTTTCCTTTCTTAACCCTTTAATTCCTTGAAGTGATTAACATAAAACTCCTCCCTATAATATCCATACATTATTCAGTAAACAGGTAATGAGAATATTCAAACTTATCAGGTAGAAGCTGCTATCTTGATCTAGCACCAAGTTCTCATAACTAATTTACAAGGAAATGTGTAGCAGCTAGAGGGGAGAATTAACAATCAGATCTTGGGAGTTAAAAGGTTAACTGAAGATTACTTCATTTAATCATATCATTTTATCACATTCTTTATTTTCAAAGAGTTTATGTGACATTTTGAACTGGTGTTTCAGGAAAATCTTCAGCCGGCAACTACTCTATGCCAAGCTTTGCCTGAACCTTGTGGTAACATAGAACATTCAAACCCTAATGCTGCTCAACTGCCACCTAATGATAACCAGGCTGATTTGGTTGAGTCAGTTATTCAGACTTCACCACCCACTCCCACATCTCCGACAAATGTTCCTATGACATATCACTTGGTGGAGGAAGCATCTCTGCGGAGACGGAACAAACTGATTGACAGTAAAGGCTTCTCCTACAATGTCCGTCGTATGAAAGCTGATAAAATTCACTGGCAGTGTAGTATAAGGCCGAAGGGAAACCACTGCAAAGCCACAGTGCTTGAGCAGGATGGTGTGTACACATTTGGGAAACATCCCCACAACCATGGTACCTACTCAGGAACTCTAGCTGCTGCTCAAATAGTGTCCACCATTAAAACAAAGGCATTGGAAGAGTTATCCAAGCCAGCTTCTGTCATTGTTAAAGAGGTATTTCTTTCTGTCTTTTTATTTGTCTTTGCTGGTGAGCTTCCTGTATCCCAGTTTCATTAGCCAAAAGTTACTTGCCAAGAATAATTCCTGCTACCCTGGATGGGATCTTAGGGAAGAGATGTCATTTACCACCTGGGGAGGGGTGGAGGACTTTGGGGATCACATGATTTCCATGGGGGGACAGAAAGAGGGTCACTTGTCGCCCAAAGAGTATAAACAAGATTTTAAAAAATTGACTGCAAATTGACTGCCAGTGAGAAGAGAACCATATGAATACGACAGAGCCTTGTGGTGGAATAGCTAAACTTTACTGTGACACAACCAAAATCCCTAACTCTACCCCCTCTCCCTATGATAAATAAGGACCAGTCTCTTAGTCAGGGGCAAGTAACCCCCTGCCCCCCCTCCCCCCCCCTCCCACACACACACACACAGCAAATTATTGAATTTACCTTTTTATTTTAAATAGATTCTTCAGGAAGCTCTGCCTGTTACCTCTATGTGCCCAGCTTTGCCCAAAGTGGACCATATTGTACGTGCAGTAAATCGTTTGCGTCAGAAAATGAGGTCAGAAGATGTGAAAGACCTCAATTTCTCCCTAAAGGAAGACGTCATTCCACCAGGTTTTTACCAAGCGGAGGTGAAAGTAAAGAAGCGACGCCACCTAATTTTTGCTACAGAACAACAGCTGAGTCAGCTAGCTGCAACAAAAACTTGGTACATTGACAGAAATGACAAGATAGTCAAAGACCCCTTTCACCAACTTGTGTCAATTAGTGCATTTGTTATGTCTGCGGAGTCAGCAAAACAAGTGCCATTAGCTTTTGTGTTAATGTCCTCAAAGAAAAAGAGAGATTACAAGAAGGTTAGTATACATATGACTCCCTTTACTGCTCAGTCAAATCTTTTTAAAAGGAAAATAATGGTTAGAGCACTCTTCAAGTGAAATTTCTAATATCAAAACCAAAGTTACCTTGACAGCCCATCACAACAAAGGAATACATGCTTGTATAAAGACAAAAAGAATTATCCTTTGTTGAATGCATTATTCTTCCTTTTATCTATCAGATTTTGAGAGAGATCATTCATCTTCTACCTGGGGAATGGCTTCATGTGCAATTTGTTACAGCAGATTTTGACGAGGCATTGTGGGGAGCACTTCGGTCTGTTGTCCCACATGTAAAGCTGCAGGGATGTCCTCTTCACTGGACCCAGTTGGTGTGGGAAAAGGTAAACTGAAATTGTCAAGTTAAGTTTCATGCACTTGTATTATCATCTGAGCTCCTTGCACCAGCAGAATTACAGTTTTAGGCCATCAAGCTCTTTGCCCAACCTTCTCTTTTCTTATCAGCCACCCTGACATGCTCCTACTCTTTCACTCTCACATGTACCCTTCCCAATCATCTGAGAAAAGTTTGTTTGTCTTGTAAAGGACTGTTTTTTGGAGAAAGCGATTGATAATTTTCCCCTCTGGTTGTGATCAGTAGCACAGTACATATGAACAATAGCGTAACATGCAAGAAAAATACAAAATATTTATAAAGGAATCAAAAACCTCTTGAAACTCTTTACTTAGAGAATATATTACAGTTCTTTCACTTATTGCTTTATTTTGGGACATTTCGGTTAATTTCCAGCAATTTCTCTATTACCCATGATGCATTGCGACCCCACCCATTTTCATTTGCATGATCTCTTTCACGTGTACCAGGCTTGCTACATAGCAAAAAGCTTCTAGAAGCTTCTAGGGTGGTTACAAAGCTGTTGTTTTTCCTTCGATTGCAAGTAGCCGAGTGAAATGGCGGTCGAAGTGGTCGAGAGTTTTCGAAGTGACGTGCGGCTGTTTTCGCTTTCTTCCCTCAATGTAACCTGAAACCCTGAACGAAATGTTTCAAAACGTTTGGGATTTAGAAAAACGCTTCTTGTTCCCTCAATTTGTTATATTTTCTCGTGAAAATGAGCAGTTAGCTTCGTTATGAGATGAGAATGACACCGCAGGAAATTAACATGTTTGGTCCAACGCCGGCAGTACTGCGGATGGCTTACATTTGGCATTGCATCCTTTATTTACGGAAAGACGCGGTATGTTTCATAGTGTTTGGGAATCAAACATTTGCTTCATTCTCAAGATTGAAATACGCAAAGTCGCCAAAACTTTCAGGACTGGCTCTTCAGAAGATGAGAATTCCATTGTAACAAGCTTTTTACTATCACGGCATTCTATGCCGCTGAGGGGAATACCTTTCTCCTGATTTCATGGACTGAAACATGGAGCGTGATGCTTGTACACTTGAACAAAAAGTGCTATTTTTATCTAAGGATAGTCTGTCTTTCAAATTTGTACATATACATCTGAAATCTCTGATTTATTGTGATATTTTAGGTGATTTTTTCCGTTGATATCTTCTGCGAGAAACACAAGAAATTTTAAGATAATGATAATTTTGTGTATGGGAATGTTACGCGTGACGCCCTAAATTATGCATATTTTTGGAAAAATTAAATTTGTAAAAAAATGAGAATTCAATAAAAATCCATGATATTACGCAAAGTTGTAGAGTATTATGTCTTTTTTATTTGTGCCAAGTCTCGGCATTGTAGCTGGAAAAGTACGAGAGATATTTTTGTTTATGTTTGCTTCTCTGTGTTTGTGCACGTGAACTGTGCTACTGATCTTGTCAAAACATTAATTGCTGTCGGTCTTTTTCCCAACGACTCTCACCTGGACAATTAGACCATATTAGCAATATGCAATTTGCTAACAATGGCATCCAAATGAATGCTAGGATTGGCCAACCTCAGGGGCAAGTTCATGCATGGTTTATCTTTGTAATAGGGCAAGATGCTTAGTCCAAAAAAACTTTGCATTTGTTTTTCTTTAAGTCATACGGTGTATGTTTACAAACCTTTTTTAATTAGAGATAGTAGTCATGCTCTCCATCAATGCAAAGACTAAAGATTTTTGGCTCATATTTTTATCAGATGCAAGATCTTGGTCTGCAAGCACTGTACATTGAGGATAATGGTATGCACAGGTACATTAGAAAATTGCTTGCATTACCCTTGCTGCCTGGCAAAGAGATTTCTACTCAGTTCCAGCGACTAAAACTACAGGCAACCACAGAGACACTTCAGGAACTAATAAAATACATCGAGGATACATGGATCACCAACATTGCGTACCCCATCAGGGATTGGTCTGTTTATCGTCAGCCAATAAGAACAATGAATGACATTGGAAGCTGGCCGAAGCTTCTTAGTAATGAAAGTGGTAGGAAAGGTCAAGTTCCTTTTTACACTCTAGTTCAGTCACTGCATCAAGTGGCCCAACTTTCTGTTCAAAACATGCAGTTGGTAAGCAACAAAAAGTTGATCAGGATTCAACAGCACGATTGCCATCACTTGCAGTCACAGATCAGTCAGTTTTGGTCTGAGTATAGGAAAAGAAAAATTACAGCAGCAAAACTTCTAAAGGTCTGTTCCAAGCTGTATGGGCCATCTCAAACTGAATCCTGACTTTCATATATCATGAGATTCTAGTCATTCATTAATAAGCTTGTATTTATTTTGAACACTGATATTATATACCAGCAGAAGCTTAGAACCTACCAGTAATGTATAGAAGTTTACTTGCCATGATGTTTTTGAAAAATTTCTTTTGTCATAATCAAAATGTCCTATTTTTTTGCATTCAGTTTTGTATCTTGTAAAAAGTATTTTTGGGAAAATGTACATAACAGTTGTGTATCAGAAACATTATCATTAAATACATATGCTGGGGAATGTTGTTCAACCAGTAGTTTTAGAAGATGTGTCAAAATCTTTCACAGCAGTGATGAGTTTCTTTAACTTCTCAAGAAAAAAATTTCACTTAGGTTAAAATTTAATTTATTACAGTGTAACATTAATTATTGATCATTAATAGCACCGTTGGGGTTAAGAGAATTGTTAATATTTTAATATTTATTATTTCTACAGTGTTGTAATACATATTGTAAGATGTACTGCCACTGTTAATGTTGTAAGCGCTGTTTGTGATAAGTATCATAATTCCAGTATGTAAGGTTGTAAGTGTTTCTTCATTGTTACAAGAAGTATTAGTACTATATTGTATTGCCTAATTCTAGTATGGCAGCAGAATAATGTGGAAAGAGGGGAAAATTCTCTTACTTGCGATAGCCACAGATTTTTCAAACAAATTGCTCACGCGTTTGGCTCGTTACACAGTGTCGTCTCTACCACGACACATATTACACGACGAGCCTAAACACTTACTGCAGGGAACATCCAAGAATGTGTCTTTGCTTCGACCTTGCGAGGCCAGTGCGCTTGTCAAGCGCAAGATACGCGCGCGAAGAAGAGCAGCCCCCGGCTCTTGCTCAAGAGTGCCGGTGTTATTCACTCGCGCGACTGGTTCCCAGGGTTCAGGGTTCTGTCTTCCCCGTGGAGAGAGGAACTTGGTAACGAAGTTGTCACTCGCGCCCAATCCAGCGCGTTCTACGTGCCCTAGTCATTATTCTTAATGGCGGGTATGATTATTTTTGTCTTTTCTACACGAATATTAGCCTTCTTAGCCTAGCTTTTGAATGAAAATGCGATCGATTTTAAACATCTTATCGAGGCCAGAAAGTGTAGTTCACACGGATATTAAAGAATAACAATTAGGCCCGACAGTTACAGCGAGAACAAGACCTCAACTTCTGGACATGAACTTTCAACACTAATTTTATTACAGGATAACAGGGTGAAACTAAAAAAACAAAACAAAACAAATGAGATATGAGTCTAGTAGGATAAACCAACAGCTGTGGCTCGGGTTCGACTCCCGGACATGATATCACATGTGAGTTGAGTTTGTGGTTGTTCTCGTTCTTTTTCCGGGGGTTTTTCTCTAGGTCCTCCGGTTTTCCTTCCTCCACATAAACCAAAATTCTAAGTTCTAATTCGACCTGGAAACAGTGGTCAAGATGAGTCACCTCCTGGAATGTCCACTGCTGAATTGCATTCTTCTTCTTTTTCTTCTTCTCGTTATTATTATTATTATTATTATTATTATTATTGTTATTATTATTGTTATTATCATTATTATTGTTACTATCGTTAAAAAAAATACGGTTAACTATAGCTTTATTGAAAAAACTACTTTAACTGACAACTACGCTTAGCGCGACTTCTAGAGAATCTGACTGAAAGAGTGACTATGTTTAAAAGGATCTGGGTTTAAATACAAGAGGACTGCATAATTACGTGCGGGACGAAAGCGTGTGAAAGTGAAGGTGTAACGATGACAAACTGAACAGAAAACAACGAGGAGGTATAAGAAAAGAATAGATAAGAAAAATAAATAGTTCCAAAACTAATTAAAAGACGCTCAGATCTTGCACTGTTAGTTATGGGAGAGGTCTCTAATTAACGAGATTTGTGTCTATTACCATTTCTTAGGCGATGCTGTTGTTTTTGGAAAGCCTATTTGGAAGTACTAGATGACTTGTCTAGAACCTTGATCACTTCAAACGATGATTTCACGTGGGGCGAAAATAGCATTGGGAGCATCGTTCTGTTTCGCTTCTGCTATCATTTTCCTGGTTCATGAAATGCAAACTGCTGATCGTAAGAGGCTCAGAGAAGGTGTAATCAGAGATTTAGAACGACAAGAGAAAAAGAGGAGAAACCTTGAAGAGTTAGAACAACAGATCGAACTAACAAAGAAGTTACAAGAGCAGAGAGACAAGTGATCTGTAATTTCCTCATGAGGAAAGCTTCACAGAACTTTGTGGGGACTATAACTAAATTGTCTTATGGATTAAATAAATATGCTGTGCAGTTTTGGTAATTCAAAAGTAAAGCGAAGATATAAGATCTATAGAAAACAGAAAATTATTTAAAGTAAGCTTACAAGATCTTGTTCCAGTCACCTGCTATGGTCACGTTACCTAACGATTTAGAGTAAAAATTATTATCTGCGTGATCTGCTGAGGTCTTCTGTTTATATCGTCACCACTGAATGACAGCCTGGCACAAGTTACTGGTTCTTTCACTTTCATCTTCTCGAAGATTGCGTGTAACACAGATAAATTTTTTCTTCTTGTGTTTTTTAGGCGAGCACGAGCCGAGCGCGGGTCGAACTAGAAACGCGCGTGGTGTGGAGCGTGAAAAAAAAGTCGTTCCAACTCTATCGCTTGTTTTTTCCATAGCGCTCACCTGACGCTGACTTCTGCCTGCTTGAAAGATGCAAAAAAAAACAAAAAAAACAGACTAGACAACCCAAGAAACACGCCTTGCTGAGGTGTGCTTGATCCGTGAACATCACGTTACGTTACTTGAGAACAATGAACTCTTCATTGCATAGACATTTAGCATATTAAGGGTTTAAAATGTAGGTCTGGTATGAATAACAAGTCACAAGTTTTTTTAAAACATCTTTCAAACAAGCAGAAATAAGCGTTAGGTGAGCGCTAGGGACGAAAACAAAAGTCGTTCCTACTCTATCTAGTGCTCAGGGTGGCAATTTTTATTTCAGAACGGAAATTGAGCAATGCTTCGTGTATTTTTGATCAGATTAAAAGGGAAATTTCCCTTATTAAGGTGTTTTAATTGTAAACATCACGCCACATTTATCGAGAACAATGAACTCTTCATTGCAGAGGCATTTAGTATATTAAGGGTTTAAAATTTCCATGTGGTATGAATAACATGTCATAACACCTCAACCGGTCTCCGGATAAATTTCTGGTCGCAGTCTCGCAGTTCGTCCAGTAATCATTAAAAAAAATTAGTTTTGTGCATCTACCATCACGATATTTCTCGCTCGAACTTAAATTTCAAGGTAGGTAAGTAACAGTTTTTTTCAACTTTTAACGAAGTAAATCAACAACAGACAACACCGATAAAGGTCTTAGAAACTCAAACTTTGTTAACTTGGCACAACACTCAATTTCTGACCATTGCTGTCAGTAACAAGATTTGACGTTTGGGGTCATCATCTTGCGTACAGAGAATGTAAAAGTTATAAGCCGCATTGTGCATAAATGAAAATGCAATCTTTAATTTTGTACTCTTCAATTTCCTTTTATCATCAAAATGCGCAATAATTTGTTTTCTCGTGCTTCTTGTTCATGACATGCAAGTTCGTAATCCCATTCATTTAGTATATATTGTAGGAGGTTAAAACAGAAAATATTTAGTCTTTGAAAACTTGAAAGAGTTTTGAAATTTCATAAACATGTCAATCAAAATATCGTGAAAGTATCATATCAGACGTGAAATTAATTCAAACGGTTTTTTGGCAAAGAAAACTCTATAAATAAAGCGGAGTTGAGTTTTGACAAAAATAGGTTTTGACGCTAAACCAAGCTTATTGAAGTGAAGTTTTTGAACGACTTTAAGTTCTAAGATGCATAGTCGTCCTGTCGTGTCGAAGTCTTCGATTTCTCGGTTCCCGCATTTTAATGAGATACAACATTGCACCTCGAGAGGGAAATATTTTAGTTATAATTACAAACTGCTGGGACTTGGCATCCAAACAGAAAGCGGATTCAAAGCGTACATCTTTACTCTGATATAAATTAGGATATGAGTTTCCAATTTGTCTCATGTTAATTTAGTTGTGTAGCCACTTTCTGTATCCACGTCGTCATGAACGATTGATCAGTGCGCATGAGCAATAAAGTATTTAGACGAGAATAACATGACGAAAGAACTTTTTTCCTTTTCCCCCTTACATACGTCAATAACTGTTTAATTTCATTCAAGACGTATGTATGCTTGTACAAATTGAATCTCTTTCAGAATTTTGGTCGAGGATAGCTGTCTCCCGAGTTAGAGCCGAGTATGGCTCTACAACCTTTTACGAATGAGCAGCTTAATTATTTCAAATTTGCCTCCATTGTACTGAATGAATTCGCCATTGCTCTGCGTCAGACATTCAAATCCATGTGGGACAACAGATTTGGACATCGTCCCGGGTATCAACTGTGGGATAACTCCACCGTAGTAAGAAATTTGCTTCTCGCTGAAGAAGGTGGAAAAACCAAAGTTCCTACACAAATCACCTATGAAGAATGGGATTGCACCGCCCTGTTCCAGGCCACCATCTATGCAAGGTCCTTCGCTACGTTAGACAGCAAAGGTCATTACGAGACACTTGGTGAACTGTACGTAAAGCACCATAGAGTATCTCCTGGGTAGTTCCATCCATCTGTTGTGAGTCCAAGTGGAAATACAGCCGAAACCTTCGCTCTCGCGATTGATCAGCTTCGACTTTTACGAAACTCGCTTTGTCACTCAGACAGGTCAGAGATTGATAAACCAACCTTTGACCAATACGTGCAGCTCGCTAAAGAAGCCTTCAGAGCTCTTTGTATCAAGACAGATCCCATTGATGCCATCGGTGGATTAACAGAGTCTGACTTTCCCATAAAAGAAGTTCGCAAATTGGAGGAAAGTCTTAGACGGGAGACCAGATCATATATCGAGTGCCTCGAAGAAGTGAGATCAGGTGTCGACAAATTAATAGCGCAGGGGAATGCTATGGTAAAAGTTGAAGACCTCGCTTTGTTGGAGAGAAAAATAGATGACTTAAAACTTATAATGGATCAAAATCAAACAGGTAAAACTGATTAAAAACTTTACAGGATTTTTGGATTATCAACAATTTTAAGATACAGTGTGGCAGAGTGTTATAAGCACTAGGTTAGTAGGGAGGAACAAAAGAGACAACAGCATTTTTACTCTATTCTTTAGTAGCAATAGTTTAACAAGGTAACTTCCAGTTTTCGCAAAAATGCTTTGTACATGTCTCGAAAATCCTTTCTCCTTCACAAGTGTGAATTTATTCTATAATCAGAGTACCACCTTATAAGATGGCACTCTGATTATATTTCAAAACAATTTATGCCAGAAGTAAACCGCACCCACTATGTTTACCGGAATCGTGATTCTTGTGGGATGAGGTCAAGATTACAGCTTCACGGAAAAAGCAAGAAGCTCGTGATTGAAGTTGTATCCATAAAACTTGATTAGCTAGATTTTTTATGCTACTGTAATATGTATCCTTCTCTTATAATCATTATTTTTATTTCCTCTTGAAACTACCGACATGATCTCTTTCATGATTGTATCACTTTGCTTTTTTTAAGATTCAAAGCCATTCCTTCCACCATCAAATCTTCCTTCAAAGGTTCCACACTTCACTGGCCGCCTGAGAGAGTGTGAAGACATCAGTAATCACTTAACTTCCAAAAGTTCCCGGATCGTGTCGATATGGGGCTCGCCTGGTTTTGGTAAAACTTCTGTGGCGACTGAAGTCGGACATCAACTCCGAACTGGAGGACTTCCCGTATACTTCTTCTCCATGCGAGGACTTCTTTCAAAAGCCGATCTCACTTCGCAGCTTCTGAACTTCTTTAGAAGACACTCCACAAAGGATCAAATGCCTCAGCGAATGTCCATAGAAGACGAACTTTCCCTCTTTCTAAGCGAAATTTCAGGTGAATTTGTGATGATTCTTGACAATGCCGATGACTTACTCGAAAGTGGAGCACCAAATGTAAAGGAGGATTTCATAAACCTTCTGGAAGTCATTCTGAGTCAATTCAGAAATTTAACATTTCTTCTCACCACAAGGGAATCTCTTGAATATATAAATGTGCATTTTGAAGGCCATCAAGCAATGAGAATTGGGCCATTACACGAGTCCTTCTCTCAAACGTTAGTCGGCCGATTAATCCCAAAAGCCGAACCGCGTCTGACTGCTCGAAAATTGCGAAAATCTGTGGGTTCGTACCTTTGGCCATGAAACTGTTGTGTTCCTCCGTTACTGAAGATAATGCTCAGCTGAGTCAATTTCTAGACAGCTTCAAGGAATCTTTAGAAAGTAACATTTTCGAGCTGTTGGACAATCCAGATTATCCAAGCTATCTACGATTGAAGTTCCTATTTGAATCCTCTTTTCAGAGACTCTCTTTATCTGAGAAAGAAGCGCTGGTATCACTAAGTGTTCTTTCTGGAGATTTTAACCACTCGGTTGCTGCAGCTGTCATGGGTGTAAAAACTGCTCTGGAGGCCAGGAAAATCTTGCTTAGGCTTCGAAGAAAATCCTTCCTCGACTCTAGCTCCAAACCTGAGTCATTTTCGATGCATAAGTTGGTTCTGTCGTTTGCAAGAGAAAGAGGTGAAGATGAAATGAAAGAAACCATGCTGAACTCCAAAGCACGTTTGTTTGCATTTTACGTCTCTCTTTTCAAGAAACTAAATAAACGGGTTTTGACAGAACAATCCATGCAAGCATTCGTTGATTTCTATGAAGAGAAGCAGAATATTATTCAGAGTCTTATGGAGAGCTGTTCCGATCCTAAGACATGCCATGTTGCATTTGGTGTCCTGACAGAAGCAGAAATATTTCTAGATTCCCTTTTCTGGTGCGAGGGGAAAATCATCCACAAAATTTACGATCACACAACTAAAGAAGCTCAGATGTTTGGAAAGAGGGTGTCCTACAGTCAACTAATGGTGTCCTCAGCATTCTTCGAAGTGACTGGGGGGATACATGGAAGATCGATGACGCTTCTCTCTAAAGCCGAAGGCCTTTCTTTGTCGGTAGGTGATAAAGGAAAACTCTTGTGTTATAGAGGCATCTGTCAACTGGGTTTAGGGTTAATAGACAACGGAGCTCAAAACTTACAAAACGCTCTTTGCTTGATGAATGACAGCCCCGAGCAGCGAATTCTTAGAGTAACTGCACTGCAAATTCTTGTTACTTACTTTCTTTTCAAGAAAAAGAATGCAACTTCACTAGAGCTTTACACCAAAGCCTTACATTAGTGCAGAGCATTAGGAGACACAAGTCTTCTTGTTATTCCTCCAGTGAATAACAAAGAATTGAGAATCATCGAGGCAGATATGCCGGAACTAGGGAAGAACACCCAGACACAGCTCATTGTTACTTTCGTCTCGGAGCAACACAACATGCTTTGGGCAACTTCTCGTCAGCACTTCAGTCCGATCAGCGTGCTCTTGACATAAGAGTTAAACTCTTTGGGGAAGAACACCCAGACACAGCTCATTGTTACTTTGGTCTCGGAGTAATACAACATGCTTCAGGCAATTTCTCGTCAGCACTTCAGTCCCTTCAGCGTGCTCTTGACATAAGAGTTAAACGCTTCGGGGAAGAACACTCAGACACAGCTCAATGTTACCTTGGTGTCGGAAAAGTACGACATATTTTAGGCAATTTCCAGTCAGCACTTCAGTCCAATTAGTGTGCTCTTGAGATAAGAATTAAACTCTTCGAGAAAGAACACCCAGACACAGCTCATTGTTACTTTGGTCTCAGAGTAATACAACATGCTTTAGGTAATCTCTCGTCAGCACTTCAGTCCCATGAACCTGCTCTTGACATAATGATTAACCTTTTGGGGAAAGAACACCCAGACACAGCTCATTGTTACTTTGATGTAGTACAACATGCTTCAGGCGACTTCTCGTCAGCACTTCAGTCCTTTCAGCGTGCTCTTGACATAAGAGTTAAGCTCTTCTGGGGAGAACATCCAGACACAGCTCAGAGTTACTTTAATATCAGAGTAATACAACATGCTTTAGGCAATTTCTCGTCAGCACTTTAGTCCTTTCAGCGTGCTTTTGAACACCCAGACATGGCTCAGAACTAATATATTCTTGTGGTAACACAATTTACTCACGAAACCTTTTGTTAGCACTTCAATCTTTTTGGCGTTTCTTGCGAATAAATTCAAGTCTGCGTGGAAAAGTGCGCAGGTATCTAGGATCTGGACGACTCTATCTCAGCTTCACGTTAATCTACGCGGCGTGCACTTGTCGTTTAAAACTGCTGAGGTTAGAACATCAAGTCATTACATAATTATGTACCAAAAAATACTAGTGTGAGTATTTGTCGGAAGCATGTCAATCACTCCTCAACAGAGGAGACAAAAAATACGTCTAGAAATTTTTACTGTTCGTCAAAGCGACGAAGGGCTAACGATAGAAACTTCAGCTTAGAAACTTTCTACTGTGGCTAGTTTGCATTGAGGTTACTTCCCGCCCTCAGAGGCCGAAAAAGTATATTTTTCTTTTGTTTGACTAAACTGAATTTAACCTAACGTTTACATCAAAAATTTTTTGAAATCTTCAAAATCACCTGAGTTATTTAGGAAAACGTACTTTCAAATAAAAGTTAATAAATCTGGAAGGTGTCATAATCCCCGACCTGGGCTAGTCCCCTGGGGGAATTTTCGAGGCAACCGCTCATCTTGGGGCTCTTTGCTTATGGAAGAATCTTTGCTCAGGGAAAAATCAAAAGCGGAAGAAAGTCCTTAGTAAAAGAGAAAAAAAGTGAAAAAAAAAAACAGGCCCAAAGAAGTAAAGAAATAGTAACATTCTGTCGGGAAAAAAATCCTTTGTGAAAGCGATTGATACTGGCGGAGCGCCACGCTGGCGTCCACATTTCGAACAAAGAAGTCGCAGTCAAATTAAAATTGGCCTTACCTAATGTAAAAAACGATATTTCTTTTTATTTATGCAAGTACCAGCTTTGATACAAATCGTAATTTTGAAAGGTGTCTGTCGATCCGTTGTCTTGCTCCTCAGCACATTTTCCGGTTTTTCCATTTTCGCCGCGGGCTTTTTTCCTTTGCCTTTGGCAACTTTGCTTCTTACTGTGTTGTCCTCCTCAACGCTCCACTGAGCGATCGAGATAAAAAAAAAAGTGTCAGCAATGAGCTACTTTTCCTGGGAAATCTTGATCCATCGTCATGACGCCAGGAGGTTCCGTTGTCCCATTGGTTTGCCGTTTCAGGAGGCGAGATAATCTCGTGGCGTGGCGCGAGTTGTTTGCAAACCTCTATGAGCTAAAATCTCGCGTTTAATTTCGGGCGGAATACAATCACTTTGAGGGAATCTATAGGGTATGTAAATTTAACCGATTTTCGTCAAACTTCGCCAAAAAATTCCAGGAATAATGTCAGAGGAAAGTGTGACGGGAAATTTTGATATTTGAAATATGGTGTGATGTTCACTTACGCAACACGCCTCGCACATTTTTAGCCGCTGCAACCTTAGATACCGATATCTAGATAATCAATCAGAATATCGAAAAAAGCCTGACACACTTTTTGGACTGATGCCTTGTGAATAAGACTGTGAGGCCATTTTGCTCGTGCTGCAGCATCAGATACGCGATAAATTAATAATAATAATGATGATAACGATTTATTGACAGTATTTCTGCATGGAAGCTCTACATCTGTCATACTAACTAAAAACTAATGACTTACATAATATATATTCCACATATTGTTTTTCAAGACAACATTCATTATTTACATAAAGCACATAAAGTACTTAGCCACTGGCGCGGCTAGCATGATCGGCAATACTCTTTTATTCGCTCCTCTGCTGATCGCCCGTCGAGACCGGAAAATTGCTTCGCTTGGAGGTCCGAATGCTACCAGATCACTTGTTCTAGATCCACTAGAAGTAATCTTTTTAGTAGATGACTGACGAATTCATTCGTTGACGAGTAAAGCAATTGTGACATTTCTGTTATAAACACCTTTTGTGATTTGGACAACCTTTCATGTCAAGGTCTTGTCAAAAATTCCGAAAGCTATGAGCTTGAATCGCCAGGTGTTAGTGGTAACTATGACTCTGATATCTAACATGTTTCTGTTAAAGGGAGGCTGAGGAGCCGAGGTTTGTTGCTGAGGCTATTTCAGAGCTCTTACGTGATAATCGCGTCAAGGAAATATTCGCTCCTCCTGATATTATCAATCCGTTAAGCGGTTTCTATTGAAGCTTACGGAATAAAAAGAGATTTCTCTTGGATTTGAGGCATGTTGATTTGCATACAATTGAACAGAATTGCGAAGTTTAATTGTGAGGGCTTGCGTACCATCAAGTGTGCCTTGTCCAAAAATTATTATGTTTTTTCCTTTGATTTGAAAGTAGGCTATCACCATGTTGATATTTTTCCGAACCATCTTAAAATATTTGGCTTTTTCCTGGGATTTTGGAACGGAGTATGTCATATTTTCTATTCACGGTTCTGCCTTTTTGGCTTTCTAGTGCACCTTTTATTTTCACAAAGCTTCTAAAACCTGTGGGAACCTATTGGAGGGAACAAGGAATTCCAATCACTAAATTTTTTGATGACGGCGTTGGGGCGGGTTCCTCGTTAAATTCTGTTAAGATTAACAGTTCCATTGGTTGCGCGGATCTTTCACGATATGGCCTCGAAATTAATGAAGAAAAGTCCAATTGGGAGCCCGAGAGAAATTTTCTTGGATAGGCTATAATCTTCACACTCAAACGGGGCTCATTTTCGCAAGTGAGTAACATTGACCTGAATGAGGCTTGCTCCGTTTTAGAGGCGTCAGCGTTCATCCACGTAAAGAAAATTTCTTCTATTGTCAATCAAATTACTTTAATTACTCTTAGCTGTAGAAATGTCACTCAAATCATGACCAGCAGTCTCTAAATCTTCAACCTGGAGGGAGTTGGTCGCCATATCCAACACAGATAATCAAAATGTCGTAAGAATCGTTTAAGTTGGTGTCATAATAAAAAAGTTGCAAGACATTGAGTAATAAATTTTTATTTTATGTTCCCATCGTCAAATTCAGTTGAATATTTCTTTGGTTCCGTACGATCGTGATTCCCACGCAGATTTTGTGAGTTAGAAAGTTAACTCTAACGATTACTCCGTTTATGACGACCTTTTTTCTTTTCCTCGAAGACCGCGAGGGCCCAATTCGATTGACAGATTTGCTTGCGATTATAACACCAAATTGCCAAAATTTAATTATAGATTCCTCAAACCCGGCACAGAAGCTTTGGATGCGTTTACACAGGATTGATCATTAGAATAAAACTGGCTTGTCTCACCTACCACACTTGTTGGTAGAGTGTTGAGTCATATGAGTGATTGCAAGGCAGTTGATTTTCTAATCGTAACTATGTATAAGTCCGCATATTTTCAGCCATTACTATGTAGCTATGGTGCGCTTTCAAATTTCTTTGTAAGGGACTGGCTATTTCCGCCCAACAAATCGGATTTGTTCACTAAGGGTAAAGCAAAGAACGTATTGTTGGGTACCAGGGTATTCACGATGTTAGGCGCTTCGTATTGATTTTGCTGGTGACAGTTGTCGCTCTTCTTTGAGTTTTGTACCTCCCCTAATGGCTATTGTTCGGCTTGCCAGTCAGTTGTTCTCTGAAGTGTCGATGGTAATTAAAATTGTGACTCATCGAAGATTGCATTGAAGTTTACGTTTCTTAGCTGAATTTCTATTATGTTTGTTGTTAGTATTTGATATATATTTTGGTTACGGTTAAAGTGTGTATTTTGAAGGAAATTGTGCAGATTTATTTTGTATGCACCCCCGGTGTGCCATGTTCGTTTGAAGCCTGTGTAGCCCCCTTGTGGTGTTTGGCCGTACTGTAAGAACGCTCCTCGATGGAGCTGTACGTTTGTGTAATATCTGGCTGTTGCCTAAGAAACGCATTGTATGTACTCCGGTGTGCCATGTTTGGTTGAAGCCTGTGTAGCCCCCTGATGGCGTTTGGCTGTATTGTAATAACGCTCCTCGGTGGAGCTATACGTTTGTGCAATGTTTGGCTGCTGCCTAAGAAACGCAATGCGTTGGGATGCTTAGTTTGTTTAGATGAAAGCAGTTATGTTGTTACATGTAACGTTCGGTGTGTTTGTTTTGTTTATGTTGAAGGCCCCCGGTTTCCGAATCCACACAGAATGGTGGGGTATATTTGATCTGCAATCTCTAGAGGTGTGAGTTTTGTTTGATAATTTT